AGAAGGAGAAGAAGGAAGGAGGTGGCGAAGAGAAGAAAGATGGGGGTGGTGAGGAAAAGAAGGAGGACGCGCCGCCGCCTCCCCCGCCGCCGGAGGAGATCGAGATGCGCGTCTTCATGCACTGCGAGGGGTGCGCCAGGAAGGTCAAGCGCTGCTTGAAGGGATTCGAAGGTAACGAGGGTGTTACATCGGTCTGAAACTCAAGAATGTCTTCTTTTGTTCGTTTTCTGCGAGTGATTTGAATAAAAATCTGATTTTTTTTTTTTTCGGTGATGGAAGGGGTGGAGGGCGTGATGACGGACTGCAGGACCCACAAGGTGGTGGTGAAGGGGAAGAAGGCGGCGGAGGACCCGATGAAGGTGGTGGAGAGGGTCCAGAAGAAGGCCGGGAGAAAGGTGGAACTGCTGACTCCTCTGCCGCCGCCGAAGCCGGAGAAGAAAGAGGAGGAGAAGAAGGAAGAAGAGAAGTCCAAGCCGGAGGAGAAGAAGGAAGAGGTGAGTCGTTCTGTTTTCTGATACCAATCTTCTCTCTTTTGCCTCCGCCGTGAGTTCAAAACTGAAAACTGCATTTTTTATTTTTTTTCCCCTTCTCTTCACGCACAGCCGCAGGTAATCTCAGTGGTGCTCAAAGTCCACATGCATTGCGAGGCCTGCGCACAAGAGATCAAGAAGAGGATACTAAAGATGAAAGGTTCCCTCCCCTGCTTCTTCTCCTTCCTCTCTCTTTCCTGATCTTTAGGAAATACTACCTTTTTAGCAGAATCTAATCTCGTTTAACGAAGTTCCTTGTGCTTTAACTTTGTGATGATACTGATTTTTCTCCATAAGATTCAACTGCTTTTTGGTCTGCTGCATCTTTACAGGATGTATATTCTTTCTTTTCCCCTTTTGCTTCAGCTGCACTCAGACCCTGTTTCACTGAAATATTTGGCTCTCCATCTTGTAAAGAACCTTCACATCTCCATGAGAATTCAATAACCGGTATCTTTCAGGAGTAACCGAGGCTCTTTTTCTCAGGAACAGAAAACAAGTTTATCTTATTTCTCTCTTTTACCTGTAGTCCTCTGTGATTACGGTTTGTAGCTGAAGCTTCCTCTGCTTTTGTTGCTTTCTAATAATTCTAAGTTGGTGGAATCTCTCATCTTCTGTCCTGGTTTTCGATCGATAACGACTAAAAATCGGATTTTTCTTCCAAAACTCTGCGAATCGAGCAGGGGTGCAGTCGGCGGAACCGGATCTGAAAGCCTCGCAGGTGACGGTGAAGGGCGTCTTCGCCGCGCAGAAGCTGGTGGAGTACGTGTACAAGAGGACCGGGAAGCACGCGGCGGTGGCCAAGGAAGAGCCAGTGGACAAGAAGCCGGCGGAGGAAGAGAAGAAGGACGACGGCGCCGGCGGGGACGCTGCCAAGGAAGAGAAGAAGGCAGACGAAGCCGGGGGAGCCAATGCCGAGGGCGAGAAGAAGGAAGAGAAAGGCGGCGAGGGAGGCGGCGGCGGCGGTGGGGACGAGAAGGACAAGAAGGAAGGCGGCGGCGGAGCGACGGAGGACGGCGCGGCGCCGCCCGCAAAGGTGATGGAGCTGATGCGAAACGAGTTCTACCAGTACTACCCCAGATACGCCGCGGGGTACGTGGGGTACGCGTATCCCCCTCAGATCTTCAGCGATGAGAACCCTAACGCCTGCTCCGTGATGTAAAATAAAAATAAGAATAAAACCCTTTTTGTTGGGCGTAAAAAAAAACAAAAGAGAGATTAATTAGTGTATAATGTGATGTTAATTCCACCTTGGAGAAACAGTACAAATATAAGTCTCTGCCTTGTTTCGTTTCCGCATTCCGGGGGTGGATGGCATTTACGATACGTGAGAGGAGAAACCGTGGTAGCTAGCTATGTATACATACATGGCCATGTGACCGTAACATGTCATGTCCGAAGGGACGGATGATGACCCTGCATCGAATGGGACATGGTAACTTTTCATCCATCTCTGCCAAATGATTTGGAAATCTCAGTGTCTTCGATTGCCTGTCACCGTATGATGATATGGAGCAGGGTAGTCTCAGGTCCTGTACGCCGTCCGTCGTCGGGTACAAGTGAAGGCTCAGCTTTGTTCGTTTAGGCACACAGACGCGGGCGTTTGTGATGCCACCATCTCAAAAATGACTGCATTTAATTGGCGTTTGAAGGTCGGATAATTTATAGCTCTTGGATGTTCCTTCATCCAGAATATATATATATATAT